ATAAAAGATGAATTATCTTCATTCTTCTTACGCATAGAAACTAGTATAAAGCTGAGTGATGTTTCAATGCTTCCTTACAAAATAACGAACACTTGCTTTAAGTAAAATAAATTTATAAGAAATTTATAATATGATTAAAATCTCTTATAAATTTACTTTTTATCAAATTGTTATTTTGACTGCAAGTTGGTCTTTTGTTTAACTGTTTTTGTGCTAAGAGAAGAGAGAGTTGGATTTCGGATGACTTAACTAGAAAACCAGTTTTCAGCTGACTGCCAAGCATTTCAGCTGGCTGCTAACTTTCTCGTGATTTTCCAGTTAGCTTCCTAACAATGAATACCAGTTAACTCTTTTGCGTACCTTTTCTTTTTTATTCTTTTCTTTGTGTTTTATGGTACATTTCTTCTCTTTTTTGTACTTTTTGCTTTTTATGAATACTTTACCACTAAATATGGAACACATTACAAATAAACAAAGTAGAACATAAACAAAAGACTAGTCTAATATAGGGATAATAAAAAGGGGTTGACATCATCAAAACAATTACATTTAATCATCAAAATCTAGGGGACCTAACATATTCCGTGAAATAATCACTGCCATACAACGTCAAGGTCTTCTAACAAATTATCACCATGCACATTAAATGAGTTCTTACATATTTAAAAATTTAGGAGTAGCATTTAAAAGAAAATAAAAAAGAACAAGAAAAAAAAATGTAGTAACTCCACAATTTAGTAGACAGTTTTCGAAAAAGTAACAATCCCGAAAAAGAACAAAAGTAAAAGTAGTATTAATCCATATTTCAGACAACAACACAACTTTGAGCAGGCATCGATCTCAACATATTTTTTAAGCCAACTTTCATTTACATTGCATTAAGAAAGCAACTCAACTAATTTTAGAACTTTATGTATACAAGTATATTGAATAAATACTTACCGTGATGAAGAGCAGACATATCAACCATTTTAATCCTCTCTTTAGCCGTCTGAGGACTAAGGCATTATTCTCCCCTTAATTCTGCTTGAATAATCACGTATTTTCAGCAAGTCGTGATCCATAAACACGTTCACTAGAGATGTTGGAATAGTTAGGCCGGGTTTTTGTCGTATGAAGTGTGTGGAAAGTTTAAAATAAGTGTTTGGGAGGGAAAATAAATCAGAACACGTGACACTGACATGTCAATTTCAGACCGAATTGTTACTCTCCGGCGTAAATATCCTCAAATTGGACAAATATATTAGCTAGAGACATGGGTGGAAATAGGCCAGGTGGCCTATGGCCTGGCTTTTTTAAAGCCTGACCTGACCTGTTTAGTAACCAAACTAGGCCTGGGCTTTTCAAAAAGTCCGTTTATCTAAATAGGTCAGACCTAGCCCAATTCTGAAGCCTTTTTAGAGCTCATTTGGTAGCACGAAAATCGGCTGTTTTGGCTGATTCTGCTGAAATTTATGAAATTCTGGCTGAAGTGGCTGTTTGGGCTGATTCTGCTGATTCAAAAAAAAAATATTTTGAAAATATATTTTAGGGAAAATTGTCAAATAGGTCCTCGAACTTTCATAAAAAGTCAATTAAGTCCTTCTATAGGAGACTCTGTCCGGTCGTCGCGATTTGGGGCGGTTCCCGGTGGAATTTTGTGATGAATTTTTTTGAGCATCTTATTCATCAATTCTAGTTTACTCATACCAAATTTCAGCTAAAAATTTAATCGGAAGCGCATTCAAATTAATTCGAGAACGCAAAAATGCGCAGTTATCTTCAAGAAATAATTTGAATGTGTTCCCGATTGAATTTTTAGCTGAAATTTGGTATGAGTAAACTAGACTTGGTGAATAAGATGCTCGAAAAATTTCATCAAAAAATTCCACCGGGAACTTCCCCAAATCGCGACGGGCGGACAGAACCTCTAATAGAAGGACTTAATTGACCTTTTTATGAAAGTTCGAGGACCTATTTGACAGTTTTCCCTATATTTTATTAATAAATTACAGAAAAAATTGCATGTAAAATAGCTAAAATAGTCCTCTACAGTAACTTCAGCCAATACAGCCAGAAAAGTAACTTCATGCTTACTTTTTATGCTTATTACACAATTCAGCGCACGAAACTAAAAGTTACGTGTTTGGCGAAAAAGTTGGCTGATAAGCCTGAAAAGCCAAATATCATGATTACCAAACGGGCTCTTGAATTACATAGAAATTTATTTTCACTACATAATAATGTAATATTAGACATCCAAAGTAAAACTAACGTATAGTTAGACTTTTTAGTGAATGTTTGGGTGAATAACGGGTTAAAAGATTTTTTCACTTCTTATTTTTTATTTTTTTGAAATTTCATTTTTTTCTTAACAGGCCCAATAAACAGACTTCAGGCCAGGCCAGACTTTTAAACAGGTCAGGCTCAGGCCAAAAAACCAGGCCTTTAACAGGTAACAGGTCAGACTCAGACCTCTATACATTCTAAAACAAGCCTGGCCTGTTTAGACGAAAGTCTGACCTGACATGGCCTGCTTCCACCCCTAGCTAGAGGACATATTATGCATGTAAATGAAATTAGAGGACTAATATTGGGTACGGTAAAAAGCTAGGGACTAATTTTACAATTTTCCCTTATTTTTTAATAAAATACTCCGTAGTTGTTATTGTTAATAAGGCATTAAATACTACCTCCATCCCGAGCAACAGTCACGAGTATATTGTATGAAGCAATGATTTTGGTACCTCTCATTAACAAGGCATTATTGTTATTGTTAATAAGGCATTAAATTCGTCAAATTGATTTTTCTTAGTCAATTTTGATAAATTTTGAATAATGATTTTAATTAATATATTTATATATAGTTTATATATTTTATACTTTTATAAAAATATTTTGAATAAGGAACATTTTGATATAATTTTCATATTCAAAATAATTTCACAATTTGGCAACCTTTCTAGAATGGAGGGAGTATATGATTTGGTATCCGACTGTATTATTGCCTTCTTCTGGCCACAGAGATACGATTAGTATTCCATATGGGTCTATTTACGCCCAAAAAAACGTACCATCACCATTTAATATATTTGTCTTCATATGAATATCGTACGGGTGTTTGTGCAGTGGTGACATAAACACACGTTTAATAAGTATCTACGCTACTAAAAAAAAAGTATCTACGCATTAATTTGAGACCACTTTATCATATAAATAATCTGGAAACCTAGCTCTTAAGAATTTTTGTCAAAAAAAAAACCCCTCTTAGGAATTAATGAGACAGATACATGGATACGTATTGTTTGTTGATAGGCATGAGGCATCGTTGTAGTCTTTTGCCTGTTTATTTGTTCAAATTAGTTAAAGATTTCCCTACAAATATATATGTTCTGATATGTACCCAGTCCCTGAAATCCTTCCAAATCTTTCATGTTGGTCCTTCTTCTTAGATGATTACAAATCTGTAGGTTAATGGTAAGGAGTAAGAACAAAATTCTATCCTTTCAGCTTGTTTAACCTATACGCACGGGCTACGTATGATTAAGATACATTGCAGTATCTCTACTAATAATTTCGAATAAGTTAAAACTTTGAGTTATTTTAAGAGATTTTTTCCTGAACTATTACTAATAACAAAGTCATATATGATATATGGACACAGAAATGTGATTGAGTAATTACTCCGTATTAGGGACTATAATTATATTCAGATTTATACGAGTATTTGTTGTTCTAATTTATCTTTTTGTTTTAATAATCTGTTTAAATTTATCTTTTTCATCTATGATCTATCATAACTGTTTCATCATTTCCATCATCATTATCATTACCCCAATGCCGCAAAGGCGCCCACCTACAGTGGGGTAAGGGGTGGTCGGATGGACGCAGTCTTACCCCTGCACTAAAACACATAGAGACTGTTTCCGGATGACCCACAGTGAAAATCGCGTCCAAAATTGCATCGACTGGCTGCTACTTCATAACAATGAAGCGCAAACAGTTTAGTGAACTATTTTGCTTTATTCTATCATATTCTCAAGCCAAAAAATAGTGAGTCTTTGGCTTCATTGCAAATGATGGGAAGTTTTTCATCATTTCCAATGGAGCAAAAAAAAACTCACTATTTTTTGGATTGGAAAATGAAGGAATTGAACAAAATGACTCACTAAACTGTTCGTGCTTCTTTGTTACTACTATGAAGCAACAGTCACGTCCAAGTAATTTTCAACGCGATTTTCACTATGGCTCACCCGGAAACGGTCTCTAAGTGTTTAGTATAAGGTAAGCCGGTAAGGCTGCGTACATCCGAATCCACCTTACCTCATCGTAGGTGGGAATCTTTGGTCAATGTGTAATGTTAATATTGTTGTCGTTGTTGTAGTATTTGTCCTATGAATTTGGTACAAGTATATTTGGATGATTGTTATAATTCATTATAATTTTGCTTTATTTCACACTTACGGATTCAATCCCAATCACACAATTTTATACGTAGTATTTGATAATAAATTAATCACACCATTCAATCATGTTCTAATCTTAGGGGACGGTAGTAAGACATTGCACTAAATCCTGGATTCTAGAATTGAAGGAACATCAAAGATCTCTTAATTAAGAAACACTTATATATCCATCATAATAATCTCCTTGCTTTTCGTTGATTAGTGCACGTACTGAATGAATAAAGTAGTGGTTAGTTAAATTAATGGATGAGGCTTCTATATATAGTTGATTGGTTTACTTTGTGATTTAATAATTAGTGTATGTAAATGGAAAACTTTTACCCTTGGCTTCCCTCACATGATCAACAAAATGATAGTGAAGATTTGTATAGGCTTTTCTCCGCTCCTCCACCTCCTATGCCTGCAGGAGGGTTAGTAACGACCCACAATCCCACGTTCAAGGACGACGTCGTTTCCTTACAAGGTCCATCTTTACTCCCACAAAAAGATCTGAATTTGGATAACACCGCCGGAAAGTTGGAAGACGGCAGCCGGCGTCAGAATTCCCCGGCGGCGGCGCAAGGGGAGAGCAGCACGAGTGATGATAAGCAAAAGAAAATGATACATAGAGACATTGAAAGGCAAAGGAGGCAAGAAATGGCCAGCCTTTATGCTTCTCTTCGCAGTCAACTCCCTTTAGAATACATAAAGGTTAGTTCATTCTAACTAAATTGGGCAAAATAGGAGTAACAAAATAATAATTCTAAATTGTTTAATCACATTAAAAAACTAAATAATACTGCAATATCTTTCTGAAAACATAAATGAATGATTCATATTTTAAAAAGAAAAACAATGTTAGTCACGTAGTCTTATTATTTCAAGAAATATGGCATTTTGACTTTGTTCTACTTAAGAATTTTCATCACAAATGTATTTACCCCACGCATGCATTTGATGCATATCATGTGGTGCTTTAATTTATTCATATGTATACTACTCAATCCAACTATGATCTACTTACTAATCTTAGCTCAGATGAACAATAAACTATTCAAAGTAGAGTTTAAGCGCCCATTTCAAAAACTTTTGTTAACCCCATTTATTAAAATGTTACTCAAAATTATGTCGTACGTAGTAATTTATATTACTGTTATCCCTTTTTATCTGAAACAGTTTGACTTTCGCGTTTCTCAATACCTAAATTTGACTATAGTTATATTTAATTACGTATTACTCAGTTATAAACATCATAAACAAATAATATTTTGAAAATTCATATTAAGAGAAATAATTCAGAGTATTGCAATCATTAAAGAACGAGAAAGTATAAGTTAAACTCTATTGATTAGGTTTAGGGATTATTGAAAAAATGTACTCTTATCAAGAGATTAATTAACAAAGCAAATTTTAGAACGTTGTAAATATGTGGTATCAAGTTCGACACATATATTGTAATATTAAGAAAACTCCTCCTGATCCATGAATACCCTCCTTTGTAGACAAAAGTTGCAATTCAAAAATCGATTCTTTATTCTCATAAGATTCATGTAATTAAACAAAACATGTTTTTAAAAAGCATCGGTCCATTTGTACCTTTTAAACTCTTTCTTCAAATAATTTGATGAAATGTTATATCTTTTCTTATTTTCAAATAATATTCTAGAGCACTAAATGTCATCGTGTATTTACTCATGAATTTTTTTTAAAAAATAGCCGCGAAGTCCTACATTAGCGAAAAAATTTTGACCCACTAAACTAACAAATTTTTTTCGCCCTAATACACTAGAGGAAATATTTTCACCCCTACAATAATGAAAAAAATTTCGCCACTTGACTCGAAATCCTGGATCCATCCCTGACACGAGACAAAAGCCACATCCCAAGTAAACTTTAGAACAAAAATGGAATCTCTCATAGGTAGTGTTCTGATTTTGAGCTCTCCTAGAAAGATGAATGATAAAGAGTAGCCTATGACCCAATAATAAGCATAGCTTCATAGTATTATTATTAGAATAATTCATACGAAGTATTTAATTAATTTTACAGCTAATAAAGATGTCCAATTCAGTCGCGAGGGACAATAGTCACAATACAATAGTCTCCTCAAAAGTACAACCTTGTCATCCAATTGCAAATGGACATTCTTAATTCTTTAAAAGAACCATATATGAAACCATTGCAACTCTATAAATAACTACCTAGTATAAATGTATAATTTACACAACGAGTGGAAAAGTAGAAAATGGGTTAATTCGTAGGTAGTTATCATAGTTAAGTCTGGGAAGTTAGGGTTTTGTAAAAATATGTGTGTGTCATATGTGAAATGTTGGAGCTAGATATACTTATTGGTAAAGAGAGAACTGGAGTAAACAAAATTGTCTCTATTTAGGGTTTCTCTGCAGAAAGAGGAATATTAATATGATTACTCGAGAGAATTGAAGGAGGACCGGTATATTCGGCAATATTGAATGTATTGGACATGATGCGGAGAATCGGTCGATTCTGCCGATTTGAATGTTATCAAACGGACTTTTAGCTAACGCTAAAATAGGCTTAAAACTAAGGCAACTTAATTTTCTTTTAGTTTTCTCATGTAAGCTTCTTCTATTCTCTCTTTTAGTATCATGCATGCATGAACTGTTGGCCCAACCTACAAAGAATCTTAAATCTACCCCTGATTTAGTCTCATCTTTTATGGACAGGACACATTAAATCTTTAGTGCTTGATTGATAAATGATATGCAAAAGACTTGGCTACATTTTTCCTAGTAAAATACGGTCATGTTTTGTTTTTTGTTTTGCACCTTTTATGGACAGGAACATTAAATATTTAGTGATTGATACCTGATATGCAAATATGCAAATGAGTTGGCTACATTCCCCCGTTAAAATACGACCACGTTTTTATGTTTTGCATGTGTTTATTGACTTTCTGCGTTACACCTAATAAGAGGCAACATTTTAAAGTTTAGGCACAATCAAGGAAGCACTATAATGCGTGTTTTCCATAAAATATTACTAATAAAAAATATACAAAAAAATGTTACTAGTTACTCCGTATTAATTACTATGTGTAAGTTTTATAATCATAAGAATTAACATTTAAATAAAATTATAGTCACTAAAGTTACAAGAATCACATTTTGTTATGAATTAATTAGGGAAAACGTTCGGCATCTGATCATGTTTTGGAGGCAGCGAAGTACATTGAGCACAAGCACAAGAGCATCCGTGAGCAGGAAGAAAAGAGGGACAGATTAAAGAGACTAAAAAGTGTTGTTTTTAAAGGAGAAGATGAATCCATAGCCGTTTTACCAGCAATGGTTACAGTCCAGCCATGCTTAGCTAATTACGGGGTTGAGATATTAATCAACTCTGGGTCTCCCAAGCAAGGGTTTCGGGTTTCGAGGGCGCTTTCCCTACTGGCCAAACAAGGCCTTAATGTCACTAGCTGTGTTTGCTCAAGAGTTGAGGACAGAATGCTCCACACCATTAGAGCTGAGGTGGTCTAATCTTTTCATTCCCATTTAGTTCCCTGCAAAAAGATTTTAATAATTAATTTATGATGCTATAATATAATTGCTGTTAACAATAAATTAATATCACACGCTTGGTGGATTTGATTATGTGAGATATGCATATTTTATGGATGGGATGTTCTTGCAGGTTAGTACACAGACAAGAGTTGATCTTCAAGAGCTCCAACAGAATCTGATCTATGCTCTTAATAACAAACATCATAACCCCACTAATAATTCGAACTGATGAGTATATATATCTTGATCCACTCATTTAAAATTAATAATGTATTCATTTTTTTTTTGTTTTATTCCATTGATATATGGATGCATTGCAAAGTTTTATTGTATAATATGTTCTTCCGATGTAAAATGTAATACGGAGTATAAGTTATGTCATGTAAAAAATCGTTGTTCACTTCTTTCAGTGTAATAATGTTGTGTGGAATGGTAATTAAACGTGCTTCTTCTAAAGAACAATGATAAGAATTAGGAAGTGTTTACGATTGCTTCGACTTCAAAAAAAATGATTTTTTAAAGTGATTTTGGAGAAAATACTTAATAGTAAAAGTTGGTAGTGTTTGAGAAAACAGTGATTCTAAAAAAGTAAAAGTTGGTAGTGTTTGGTAAAATAAGTGCTTTTTGTGTAATAGAAAAAGTGAAAAACAGTTTAAATCACCCTTCCACCTGCGTCCAGCTTTTAGCTTTTAAGTGACTAATTTATGCAGAATCTGTCATTTGAAAACAGTCTTTTCAGCTTTTTTAAAGCTAAAAGCTGAAAAGCACCTTTTAAAAGCTCTAGCAAACACTCCTTTACTCCAAGTAGAAGTAAGAATTCCTAAATCCTAATACCCCACCCCCCACAGAAACCCGCTTATATAAAAATATCAGAATAGGAACAAGTAACATCAGGACCAGACATTAGAATATTACTAAAAAAAAGAGGTTATGTCTAAAATATTACTAAAGAAAGAGATGTGGACAAATAAAAGATTTTTTTTAAAGTTCAAAAAATGAGACTAAATAATAGTAAAGGGACTTTTACACCCTTACTAAGGCCAAACCCAACTGACTTGTTACAGTACCCGCTACAGTGACCAAAGGTGCAGTGACCCATGTCAAAGTGACTAATGTCACAATTACTCATTTCGACAGTGATTAATGACACAATTACAAAATTCCGGTAGTAGTGATAAAAAATACGATAGTGACCAAAAAACCATCAGTTAGTTGACGTCACCGGTTACAGTTACCAACCCGTCAGTTACAGTTACTCAATTCGACCAGTTACAATTACATAATTTGATCAATTACATTTGCCCTATTCGCCAGTTACAGTTACCTACCTGATTGTCAGTTACAGTTCCAAATATCCGACATCAATCGATTACGATTTCCCAATCTAACCACTTACACTTACTTGGTCTCATAATTACCGCTGGCGGCCACCTCCGGCAGCCACATCCGGCGGCCACCACCTCCAACCACCACCGGCGATTACCACCTCCAGCCACCACCACCGCCCCTTTAGTAACTACCTCCCCGAAACAAGTTGCCCCTGCCTAGTAACAACCCCTTCCCCAGCACCACCCTTTCCCGACGGAGACCGCCGCCAACCCTCTCCCGGCGGTGAAGGCCGCCCCCTTCGTCCGCTAGCTCCCACAACCCCAGCCCCCAACCCAGCAGCCCCCAACCCGTTCTCCAGCAAGCTCCCTAGTCACTCCCCCTTCGCATGCGGTGCAGACCCGCCCCTTCCAACCCATAGCCTCCCCTCTCAAGATCTCAACCTCCCAACTGCCGAACCCTACCCCAAAACCCTATCCTCCACCCAACATTCACCTCACCATCGCACCACCGCGGTCAATCGGAATCCTAGCCATATATCGATCTGAAACCCTAGCCGTCAGTTCCATATGAGGCGAAAACGAGTCTTAAACAACCCGGTAACAGCAGAAAACAAAAGTCTTAAACGAAAGAATGACAACAAAAACATAATACTGAAATAAATAAACTTGCAGAAGAAGCCTAGACGAGCCTAAAAACCTAGCTAGGCCCACCTCTTCCCCATTTTTGGCTCGTCCACCATCATAGCTCCTTCCCCCTTCAACCAGATCTTCATGTTCCTTGTTATCTGCCACTCGTCTCCTCTTTGACTCCACCACTCGGCAACTAGCTATCCCCTCCTGCAAAGTCTATGGAAGCTCCTCTTGCACAAGAACGACATCTAAGTCCCACTCCCGAGTTCCGCTGAGTATACCTCCTAGCGTCACCACTTGTTGTTCCCCACGGCCAGCTGCCTCTGTCCCATCTTTAACTAATCATTTATTCCCCCTCTCATCCTACCTCCGCCTACCCAAAGCCACTTTGGAGTCTTTTCTTATTTTACGGAAATAAGTAACATACATGTAAAAAACGGGATTTTCCCTATGATTTCTGAAAAGGGGAGATTCAGAAAGAGCAATTCCGATTAGGATGGTTAAGGTGGGTAGATGGGCTGGGAGGGGGAGGGGCAATGGAATGTAAAAATTTCATTTTTTTTATTAAGTGATTTAACTTTTTTATTTATACTCTAAATTTTACAAAAAAATATATCAAAATTCATAACGTCTTGTGTTTTTTCAAATGACACCAATATCCCATGCCATATATAATGTTTTTAAAGTTTCAAGTGTAGAGTGTTTTCAGATCCAATTTTTTTCTTAAATAGACTCAAGTGCTAAAATAAAGATCTCATTGTTAACGTAACTTTTAAAAAATATTTCAATTATTTTAAAAATGAGATTTTAATGTTAGAATTTGGATCTATTTAAGAAAAAATTGAACCGGAAAACCTTTTACTGTTAAAACTTCATTTTTTAAAACTTATATATATGTCATACGAAAGTTCATAAAAAACTATAAATTTTGATATTTTTTTTATAAAAAATGGGTTACAAATAAATAACTTACAACACTTCAAACAATGGAAATAAATATTTTGCTAGCCCCCACCCATCTCCCTTACCCACGCCCTCCAAACCCTTGTTTTGTTTGTTCTCGTTTTCATTCGGAATTTGGCATTCCAAATCCCGTGTTTTGGTACAACAATTTAAACTCCCGTATTTTTGTTAGTCAAACAAAAAGTCCCGTATTTTGGGAATTCCCTCCATAGACCAAATGGCTTTACTAATTCACCATCCCCTTTATTATACGCTCGAGGACAAAAGCGGTCAGCATGACCCATCAGACAACAAACATAACAAAAATTCAGAAGTTTTTCATACTTCTAGTCCATCCAAAACCATTCCTTTTCATCTTTTCCGAATTTCACTTTCCACCTTAGAAGGCTTCCTTATGTCGAGGCACACCCTTAGCCTCACATAAGGCCTCCATGAATCCTCAAATTGACTCTCGTCAACTTGAACTAATTTACCTAACGAAGTCCCAATGCTTTTTGCAACTCTCATAGTAAAGAAACCTCATATTCTTGTAATTTCCATTTGTATATTTACATTTTTAATTAGTTTTGTTGTTTTTTACTTTGGAAATTAGACACTATTGTTGTAATACTTTAGTTTGTTAAAATAATTGTAATTTGCTTAGATTAGGATTATTCTAAGCTAAAACATATCCATGATCAATCAAGGGACCATGGGTGAACCACAAAGGAGGAAGAAAGGTGAAAAAATGCAGGACAAAAATAGAAGGTTTCGATTTTGGACTATACCCGGTCGGGTATACCCTATACTCAATCGGGTATCGACTTGACTTGCGAATCAAATCAAATCCAGAAAACAAAGGAATGTGAAGGACGATTTTTGACCACGATCTTCTGTCACACCCGATCGGGTACACCGACACACCCGATCGGGTATGCTTACTTTTCACATCTTCCAGGAAACCGCAGAAGGTACCCGATCGGGTACCCTATATACCCGGTAGGGTACACGAGCATGCCACCTCAATTTGCCTATAAATACACCCCTTTTCCTTCACATAAAAGTCACCAATTCTTGTATACTTCTAAGCTCAGTTTAGTCAAGTACTTTCTTTATATTTTTAGCATATTTAGACTCCAAATGAGGAGCTAAACCCTTCCGTCTTGGTTTTGCTGCATTGAAGCTTATGATTTGTAACTTGTGAGTTATTTTCTTTAATCATCTTCCTTGAATATTAATTACATTCCTATTTTATATTCATATTAATATTTTAGCATTACTTAAATGTTCAACTAGTTTTGTTTCATATATTAATTATTACTAGAATCGATCGATGAATACGCATGTTAATCGTTTGGTCCTTTAAATTCACGGTAGTAAACTTGGATTATTAATGCATGCGTCTCATGGTTAATAATCTAAGGGGAATTAAATATATTGATTAAACCAATAAACCGCTTGTGTTGATGTTATCAATCTCAATCGATTTCATCTTAAGTTTTATTGCTACTATCAGGTCAATATACAACGCGTGTTCTATATTGACTTGATAGTAAGTTTTATTAATGAACGCGTCACGTTATTAATAACTACCCTCGATGAATTGGAGATACTCCATGATTGAATATTCGAGAGGAAGATAGTTAAAGATATAACCGGGATCAACGAATATTTCATTAAGTGGATATAAGCAAAACCAAGTCTTCATATCTTATTAAGTAAACCACATAAGTCGTTCAACTTAGTGTTCAAACATACTCAAGTTTCAACAAAAACCTTAAAACCCTTGTTACTATTTCATAAAAGAGAAATACTTCTTTCCTTGCGGATACGAACCTTACTACGCTATACTACAATATAAAGCGAGTATCGTATTTATTTTGAGGCACACAACTTTAGTGTCGTCAAATTTTGCGTCATTGCTGGAAAGAGGCAATAGTTTTTCTTTTTATTTTATTTCAAGTAAAAAAATTAAATAAAATATAAAGAGTTATTGCTTTTCTATATTTTGAGCTTTGTGAGTATATGGTAAAAACATGTCCCATAAACGAAATCACATATCAAGCAAACCCGGAAATAGAACAAACTTTCGAGCGGTTGAAAAACAAATTTTAGAGTACCTGCTCGGAGGAATTATTTACCGGAGATTCATCCAACGCTAGCTCTAGATCTAGCGAATCCAAAGAGTCCATACACATGGCTCTTGAGACAAGAACCCCGAGGGAGCTCACAACTCCAAAACTCAATCAACAACCATTATGTATCACCTCCCTAGCTCCCCAACTCTTGATGTGGGTGCTATATTTGAGCTAAATTTTGGGCTCATTCATCTATTACCATCCTTCCATGGTCT